AAAATGACACATACTATAGTACGACTTCCAAACTGGTGTAAAATGACACATGCTATAGTATGACTTCCAAACTGGTTTAAAATGACACATACTATAGTATGACTTCCAAACTGGTGTAAAATGACACATGCTATAGTATGACTTCAAAACTGGTTTAAAATGACACTTACTATAGTATGACTTCCAAACTGGTTTAAAATGACACATACCAGTTTCCTCTGATTGATTACTTTCTTTTTCATTGGAGCAATTTTATCAAGTGAAGTTTGCATTGAAGTTGTAAGATGATCAACTAGATGATCTAAGTCTCTGTTCTCTGATGCATTACTCTGCAAGACAGAGGAAAACATTGATGGAAGAGATTGTTTCAATTTGGTTACAGCATTTTCTGATGAGCACCTGCTGAGATGAAATTTACTCTCAGTGACTGTGTAGTCATTTAATGTAAACTCAAAGGTTATTAAAAAATGTTCAGACAGAACAGGATTTTGAGGAACTATTACCAAGTCCTTAATCTCTACACCATAGGTCAGAACTAAATCAAGAGTGTGATGATAAGAATGAGTAGATGTGCGGACGTTTTGGGTAAAACCAAATGAGTCTATTAAATTATTAAAGGCTATGCTTAAACTATCACTCTCAACATCTATATGAATATTGAAATCACCCATTATGATGATTTTATCAGTATTTAATAATAAGTCAGTTAATAATTCTGATAATTCAGACAAAAACTGAGAGTAAGCGCCTGGTGGACGATATATAACAACTAGTAAAAGTGGTTTTTCTGATTTCCATTTTGGATGAGAAAGACTGAGGGACAGCGATTCAAAAGAATCATAACTAATAACTGGTTTGGCATTAATCAATAATCCTGACTGAAAAATAGAAGCTGCTCCTCCACCTCGGCCAGTTGTTCTAGGAACAAGAAAATTTAAATAATTAACAGGAGTGAATTCGTTTATACTAACAAATCCTCCTGTTGTAGCCAAGTTTCTGTCAGACACAATAAATCAATAAGATGATCAGTTATCAGTTCATTAAATAACAGGGATTTAGAGGAAAGAGATCTGATGTTCAATAATCCACATTTAATGATTTTATGATTTTGTTCTGGTAAAGTAACTGTGTTTATTTTAATCAGATTTTTATGGTTTATATTTTTAGAGCTGATTTTTGGTTTATTTAATTTGAGCTGTGGGCGAGTTGACACTGTTTCAATGTGGGTGTGGGTGGTGTACAGAGGAGAAGCAGCAGAGAGGTGTGGAGGACTACACCTCTGCTTCCTGGACTGGACCCTGGGTTGTCAATAATTTGGGGGATCAACAAAATCAGCCATATTTCTAGAAAGAAGAGCGGCTCCGTCCAAAGTGGGGTGGATGCAAAGAGCAGAGATGAATCCTGAGGCCACCGAACCAGAAACCCTCCACCCCCTGGCTGCACCGAGAAATTCTGTCCATAAAAGTTATGAACAGAATCTGTGACAACGGGCAGCCCTGGCGGAGTCCAACTCTCACCCTGAAGTGGTCCGACTTACTGCTGGCAATGCGAACCAAACTCTCGCACCGCTTGTATAGGGACTGAACAGCCCGTAACAACAGGCCCCCAATCCGATACTCACGAAGCACTGCCCTCTTTGTACCCCGAGGAACACGGTCAAATGCCTTCTCCAAATCCACAAAACACATGTAGACTGGATGGGCAAACTCTTATGACCCCTCAAGGACCCTAGTGAGGGTAAAGAGTTGATCCAGTGTTCCATGGCCAGGACGGAACCCACATTGTTCCTCCTGGATCTGAGGTTCAACCAACGATCGGACTCGCTTCACCAGTACCCTGAATAGACCTTACAGGGAGGCTAAGGAGAGTGATGCCCCTATAATTGGAGCACAACCTCCGGTCCCCCTTTTTGAAGAGGAGAACCACCACCACCCAGTCTGCCAGTCCAGTGGCACTGCCCCCGATGTCCACGCGACGTTGCAAAGGCATGTCAGCCAAGACAGCCCCACAACATCCAGAGCTTTAAGGAAATCGGGGAGAATCTCATCCACCCCCGGAGCCTTGCCGCCTCGGAGCTTTTTAACTACCTCGGCGACTTCAGCCTATTAACTTATTAACATTTATTACTTATTAATTTATTAAACCATTTATTACCACTTATTTCTATTTTCTGCAGCTCATCTTTGTACGCATGTGTGCTCCAGTTTTCTTGATAATTCTTGTGAATCCCTGAACAGATGTTTCTGTGCGAGTCCTACAACTGAGTCTACTGAATTCAAGATGGCTGCCACTGCTAATGCAACGGTACTTGACACAAAGTAACTTCAGCTCCATTCGTTTTGTGGATACGGAGTCACAGCACATCAGCTCTGGAGGGACCAAAGAAACTCCATCATTTCTCAGCAGCAGATGATTCGAGTCTAAAACTGTGCACGGAAGGTCGAAGGCAACGTGCACTTGTTCAAAGAATGCTTGGCCTTTTCATGTGACTTTCATGTGCTCTGAACACCGGGGACAGAAACGAGTTCAGTAATAATCTGACAAACTAGAACATTGTGAAAATGAGCCATGTTCAGGTGAGGAGGCCACGCTGCAGATAAAAACGATGGAAAACGAGCTGCGAGAGACTGAATGTCGTCATCGTATGAGCCGAGCCGGGACGAATGAGACTGAGGGGAGCAGCCAGGGAAAGGATGCCTTGCTCAAGGGCACCACTACATGTTGGCATGGCAGGGAGTCCATTAGATAAAAATATCCTTTTAATCAAAGAAGCCACACTCGAGGACACGAGAAGATTTTTCATGGTTTTACCTGCCGGAGCAGACTCACAGGTTTACAGGTCATTGAGCCGGTCGTGAGAATCTGCCCCGGGCAGTGTGCAACAATTGTTTTTAGACACTTATCTGCTCTGGGCTCAGAGACCTCCGCTGCACATGCAGGATGGTGAGAGAGGGAGAAAACTCTGGTAACTCACACACATGGTCCAACATTAACATCCTTGACCAGAACACCACGCCGCCCATTTTACTGAGCGAATCACGCAGAAGTTCAAAAATGCTGAACTACACACAGATATGTAAAGAAATATAGGTCCTACTTACATCCCAAACCAGTTTCTCTGTGTACACTGGAGCTGGTGGGAGAAGGTGAAGCAGTTCATCTTCAGCAGGTTAAAGAAGGTGTATCCTACGACGTCAGAGATGGTGTCGTTCGCCTCCCGAAGACAGCTGCGAAACCTTCAGACAGGATGACGGCTGGCGTTTGTCAAAGAAAACATCCTTTGCTGAACTTTAAAAGCTCAACGAGCAGAACAGAAGCTACAAACAGCCAAAAGTTTAAATTAACAGAGCTTTGTTAAGTTTTAGCTACAGACTAAAACACAAGATTGGCAAACCAGCAGCCGAAACCTAAAAACAAAACAATAGCTAAAGGTAGTAAAACTGTAGAGCTGTAAATACTAGAAGGTTTCTGGACAAACTGTGACAGAGACAGCCACGTGGAGGCCATTTTAAAATGGAGACAACAAAATGCCAACGTTTTGATATATGTTTGTGTATCTTAAAAGATGTGGAGGTAGAGGGTTTGTTCGATGACGTACTGAGTTTTGTTCAGAGACCACGCCCCTCCAGGTCATGTGACCTCACTGTGTTCGTTAGAGGCTGTGAAGTGGTTTTCAATTAGAAAAATGGCGACTTTGTTTACAAATTATGTCACCATGGTAACTCAATATTTTAAAAAAAAAGTAACAACACGCATCACGGCACCGAGCCGGTCGTTTAGATGTGACATTTGTGGGGGGCACACATTGTGGTTCAGGCCACATTAAAGTTGACAGAAGTGTAAGACCCTCGTCAGGTGGATAACAGGCGTCAGCCCCCCCCACCGGTAAAGTCAAGAAACCCTCGTCAGGTGGATAACAACAGGCGTCAGCCCCCC